AACGTTACATCTGAGTGTGTGTGCGTGCGTGCGTGCGTGCGCCCGTGCGTGCATGTGTGTGTGTGTCAGAGTTTCATAGTGTTGACATAGTGGGATCTGAGGAGACTTGAACATGTCAGTCTCCAGACATGATCTGATTTGCTCAGTAATGAGAAACATGAAAACCCTGGAAGCTCCACACTTTACAGAAAACACATGTTTCTGGCTTATTAAAGATATTTCTACCTGATGTGTGTTCAGGGAGTTTAGTGTGGTGGAAGTCTTAAGATCCTTAGGTACAAGAAATAGTAGTACACTGTAACTTACAGTAGTACACTGTAACTTTAAGAACACTTGAAGAGTGCGTAAAACCACCAAGGCTGACACAACCACATTGCCGATATGTGTTTCGCGATCAGACACGCCCAGACCATTGTCCAGATCCGTATCCAAATTTCACCTGATCATAGATACTAACATCCTACACATTCCAGATACTGTCCTTCTAAAAGACACACAAACTGCAATGAAACCATAATCTCAGAAGTAAAAGTTCCACATTCAAAAATCATAATTCATATGTCAAATTCATAAGTATTTTCAGTAAAACTCAATGGAGAAAGTGTAAATCTTATATAATTGGATTATTTGAAGCAATTTAACTGAGTGTTACACCCTTTAATCTGCACCAATAAATCATTTTTATTAAGACAATATGTAATTTGAATCAAATCTTTATCTGTTACATAATGTTGAACATTGTCACACAAACATAGTGGAGATGAAGTATAAAAAGGCATGAAATGGGAAAACTAGAGTACAACACATCAGATGTTTATTAAATACAGTACCTGAGTATTTGTGCTTAGTAACACTCACAGGCATATAGTGTTCTGTTTGGTATATGAATAGAAGTGGTGAAATATACATTTATATATCATTCAAGTATTTTACTTGAACAAAACTTGTGTACCTCCTATATCATTGTTGAATGTAAACAGAGAATAAGGAGGGAGGTTTTGTTTGAGAGAAGTCAGACATCCAGCTCTTATCTTACTGCCTCTCTACACACACACACACACACACACACACACACATGTATCCAGTTTTCCTCTGCTTCTTGGGTGAGCTGATTTTATCCACCTCCTACAAAAATGTTTGTTCAGCTCCTTGACTCACAAACAAATTGACTGTAAACGCGTCGTCTTATGGTCCAGTTCATCCTGGTTTTCCCGTCATTCTGCCTGTGACTGTGTTTCAATCTTCTCGTCTCATGTGCCACGATTCTGCCCCAAAACAGATATAATAAATATATATATATATTATAAGTCAAGCCATACATTAGTGCGATGCTGTTTTGGTGCTTGAAGTTTTAATAGATTTAAAGTTCCTGTGTGTGCTCACTCTGAATCCTTTGCTTATTCCCTGCACGGTTTGTCTTGCTTCATTTAAATGGTCACATTTTCCGGCCTCCACTGTTTGTCTCATCATTTATTCCCATGCTGTTCAGTTAAAAAAAATACTTTGATTCCTTTTGGCAAGCATGACAAATTAGACTCTAGCATGCAGGATTGTGTGGTCACTGTTTTAAATAACAATCGCTATAATAACACCACTTCTGTTTGACTTGTCTGAGGCCTTTTCATCTCATCGTTGTGTTTCTTTGTTTTCCCCTCAGGTAAGCCGTCAGGTGAGCGCCCAGTCAGGCTGCCGGGTCAGGTCTTGCACGCAGCCCTGCAGCAGTGGGAGTTCACAGAGCTCCACAACAGGCACAAGACCACAGAGCAGCCTCTCTACTGCCAGGGCGTCTTCGATGCCATCACCATGGGTGCGTTTCCAAATTAAACATCATTAGTGTTATAACAATATAGTTTTTGTTTGTTTTTTTTAAAGTTTATACGGTAGCCTGGTGACCATTTGGTGGGAGCATTATCAAAGGAAGTGTATGTAGGAAAGCTCCAGGTGAGGAGTAGCAGGCCTGTGTGACAGGGGAAGCAGTGTGGTTACATGGTGTTGAATTGAATCTGCTCTTAGAAACTCGACTGTGATGAATGTAAACATGGACTGCTTTTTATGTGTGAAGGTGAATACAATAAACATGATGATGATGCACAACATTCAATCAATGGGTCATCGTGCTGAAAGATATGTGATATTGGGAGGGGTTTCCTAACAAGCTCTCCTCTTACACCCCAACATGCGACCACATCCCTCATGGCTGCAGTGCTTGATGTAAAAAAAAAAAAAAATCTGAAAAATAAATGTAAAACCTGCGGAAGCAGAGGATTCTGTCACTGGGTCAATCTTTTAAAAACTGGTGTACAAAGCCATTTTCAATATTTTGTCAACTGCATTGTGAAACTCAGTTGATTCCATACCACCACCAACGCCCAAGGCTGATGAAACCAGATATGAATTCACTAGATCAGCATTTTTGCTGGGATCTGACCAAATTGCGCACAATCATAAATGTCAGCCCCCTAAAGATCCATGAATTATTCTCTGAGAAATCAACGAAAGTGTTGTAATAGATTCTTCCTGGGGTCGTGACGCACCCCTCCACAAAATTTCAGTTGAGTGTTGTTTGCGTAATCCTGCTAAATAACAAACAATCCGATGAAAATATAATCTCCTTGACGGAGCTAATCGTGATGAGATGCAGTTGAAATCTCAGTGAAAAGCCTGGTGGACCTCAGACAAGATGTTTTTTATCAAATCTGCTACACAATCAATCTTAACATTAATCTAACCTTTGTGCTACTTTTGAAATGCATCCAGACCAGAATGACACAGTGCTGGTGTTTCGGGGCGGCATGTACTGGACGGTGTCGGTTGAAGGCAGCGTGAGTGGACCACTGCCCCTCCGTCAGCGCTGGCCTGACCTCCCCCCCGCCATCGAGGCCGCTGCCTTCTCCCCGCTGGACTCCAAGTGGTATTTTTTCAAAGGTGCTGCTTCACTGAGCTCATTGATGCCACTCACACTTCCTTTTAAAGACATCCTCTCTAACCTAACTCCATGCATTTGTTAAAGTCCAAAAATAGATTTTTACTGTGGCTTTTTAAGTAGGAAAGAGCTATTTAAAGACATTATACTGCAGCTCAGCCTCAGCTGTAATGGTTTGAGAAGTTTCACCTTTGTGCTAAAGGCTAAAAAATGTCTGAAGGTTTCTCCAAGTTTAACTTTCCCATTGAAAACCAAAAGGCGTTTACTGAATTCACTTATCTGCAAAATGTCAAAGTGTTTATGTGGAACGCAGACTCTCCTGAGGCGTTATTTACTCTCCATAAATCATCTCCACCTTTCTCTCCATCATGTGTTCTCTGAGAGTTGAAGGAGACACTGTTGAGGAGTCGTTGTCTCAAGTAGCAGACTGCATTTCTCAGAACACTGAGCTGCAAAATACTTCTATTCTCAATATCTTTGGAAAAGGGGGATGTTTAAAAAGTCTTACTTTGTCAGGGTCATTTTTATTATTTTGACAGAAATCTTAGTGTAAGTGTGTCGTAAAAGGGGAAAATGACAAAGTGAATTTGTGTTATCTTCCTTTTTTATTTTGTTCTGTTTGTTTATTCTCATGTATTTTGTAAATTTGTAACCTAGTTAAGATAAATGTTGAATTTGAGGCATGAGCTCCTAAAATTACATTTGTTGCATTATAAAACATTTATTGTTTAAAGGTACAGTGTGTAGAATTTAGTGACATCTAGTGTTGAAGTTGCATATTGCAGCTGAAGACCCCTCACCTCACCCTCCCCTTCCTAACATGAAAAAGAAACTGCGGTAGCTTCAGTTGTCATTAAAACTCAAAGATGTTTAGTTTGTCCAGTCTGGACTAATTTAAAAAAGATGGTGGCCTCTGTAGAGAAATATAAATATAAGGTATTTAAATATAAAGGGCCTTTTCTGGGGTAAAGAAAACTACAATTCATACAATTTAGATGAAACGAACTAGTGGAAACATCACCAGGATTAATTTACATTAAATTTATGCCAATAGATCCCTTTTACCTAAATCTTATACACTGGACCTTTAAGTGTTTTGTCTACTCTGCAGGGAAGCGGATGTGGCGCTACACAGGCAGCGGTCTGGACTCTGGCTTCCCCAAGCAGAGCAGTGAGCTGGGGCTGCCCCGCCACCCTGACTGTGCCTTCTTTTACGCACCTCTGGGTCACATGGTCCTCTTCAAGGGCTCCCGCTACTCTGTGCTTAACCTGCGAACCCTGCGCCAAGAGCCCTACTACCCCCGCAGGCTGACGGACTGGACTGGGGTGCCACAGGGGACCAATGGGGCGTTGACGCGTCCGGGTGGACGCCTGTATCTGTTCAGGGAGCAGCGCTTCTGGAAGTTTGACCCGGTCAAGGTACGAGTCACCAGGGAGGGTCAGTGGGCTCAGGATCTGAGCTGGACTGGCTGCAGCAACACGCCTCAGAGCAATAACATTCTTTGACCAGCAGGTGGAGCTGTAAGCTTGAGATAAAGTGCAATTTGTTGATGTATACTGTAAAATACAAAGGTGCTACCGTTTGTTTGTTCTTTAGCCTAAAACCCACATTGAGTTTATATGTTGAAAAAGGAGCCTGGCTCAAACAGTTATATCTCATAGGGTTAGCGCTGACTTGTATATTTTGAAGCACACAGTATTTACACTGCCTGAGCATTATTATTACTGTATATGGTGCAATCATAGCTTTTTATTACAGTTTAGACAATAGAAGGACTGTGCATGCAGATCAAATATTGTTGTGTGAGTCGACATTACACAGCCTTTTCATTTTAAATCCATATGTTGTCCTCCTGTAGTATTTACACACTGACAGAGAAACTAACAGACCTGTACTTGTCCAGTGTCACTAACATAAGATGTAGAAATAATTCACTTTAGCCTGTGATTGTGTGCACCCACTGTGACCCACTGACAATATGATGAATACTCATATAATGTGTAGGTAAGTGTAGAACATGTAGGTGGGTCATCAAGTTTGATGGCAGGTAGACGTAAATATTATCACAAAGCTGACCACAGTGTCTATCATAGACTTTAATTAAAGATGGACGACTTGTCTCCTTGTCACTTTTACACCACTGCACTGTTGGTATAAATGTAGATCACCAACTATTTAACTCACTTCACAGACAAACTATCCCACAGCTACTGAATTCTAAAAATCCGGTTTCATTATTACTGATTCTTAAACCTTTCCATCACATGGAAACATCAGTTTGTCTATAATTTAACAACATGAAGCCATTTTCTTTAACCGTCTTTAATTCTTGGTCCAAAAGAATTCCTCTGCATCACTGAACATTTGAGACACTGGACATTGTCACAGTTGATTCTTCATAATCAACATACTTCTCTTTTTCCAGTAACAACCAATAACTGTAAACAAATTCACATGTTGGAGCTGCCCTGCACATCCACTGTATCATATTGACCAGTAGCAGCTCATACTGTATATTCACTCAAATGCATTTGATTCAAACACTGGCCACAACCCACAGATTAAGTCAACAGGGAAGGTTTTAACATAATGTGTGTAGGAGACCGAAATAGTGAAAAATGATTTCCCCCCTCACCTAATACAATCTTATCTTTAATTAGACTTGTCTCTAAACACCATTAATCACTGCAATGATCATGTGCACTGCCTTGTGCTGCCATCTGTTGTATGTGATCTTAAGTTTTCACTTAAGATAAACTCTGCTGATCCCTCCGCTTACTGCAGACTTACAGTAATTAACATTTCTCAGGCTTCAGGCTGAGCACACATTAGAGACACCTTACATAACAATGGTTAATATCAAAATATTATTTTGTCTAGATATTTAAAAATCCCTGTCAACAGTGGGCTATCTGTGGAATAAAATAAGAATCTGTGAAAATTCAATGTACTTCACAACAATAATTTGGCCAGGTCTAACCCGTCATGTCTACTTTACAACACAAATACGATAACAATGATCATTTGATGTGCATTTGTCAACAAATGTAATGAAAAGCCATCGAGTTAAAGGTAAAGTTTTGTTCTGCAGTGTGAAGAGTAATCAGATTAAATCAGGTTTCTAATCCTCATCAACAAAGAGCTCCTACACAATAAGATAATCATCTGTTTTAAAGGTAATCTAAATATAAAAGATTTTCTATCTGAGATATATCACAAATACTACACTGGCATTAGAACCCTGACAGTAACATTCAAAACATAACCTTCATGTTAACTATTCACAGGGCTACATGTTAGCACAATAGCTGCACAGATCATTCACTCTTTGAACAGACCGGTCTGATAAAGTAGGATGCTAAACTGTTACTGTTACTGACAAGTCAAACCATTTTAAGAATTCATACATAAAGACCCTCGAGTGGAAATGTAATACTACAGCTGAACTTTGGTTTCCAGAACACGACATGTCCTCCTGTTTAACTTCCTCTTTTAAAAGGTTTCCCATCTTCTCCATGTGATATGTTTGTAATTGCACTGTGATAATCACCACAGCATGTGGCACAGAGGCAGGATTTTAGATGAAGAACTCATCTACCGGCTCCTCATTGTTTGTGTGTGCTGATAGCAGTGCAGCAGTAGTCCTGTTCTCAACCACAGGCCCTTTGAAAGGACTCTGTCCTAATGCTCCAGTCCTGCTCTTACAACCCTCCCTGCCTCCATTTGTAAAACCAGCAGAGCCCCACGACCTGGAGGGCAGTGTGTTTGTCTGTGGCAGACACTCCCTCAACTCCTTGGCAAGACTCTCGACAGCAGAAGCTCCAACGGCTGCAGGTCTCTCCGAGTGAAGGGTCATTAAAAGGTCTACGGAGGCAGAGCGAGTGATGGTTTTGACCGTCGCATCAGAGCACGGTGAGACGGGAACTCCTGTGTCTACGTTGGTCTCTGGCTCCTCCTCGTCCTCTTCCAGTAGAAGATGGGAGAGCGAGTGGGTGATGGAGGGGCGCATAGGAGAGTCAGGTTGATTGGAGGAGGAGGGTGGGGCGGGGCTGCTGTGCTGGGATGAGTAACAGGAGCTGCCTGGAGGGGTGCTACAGCAGCTTCCTGATCCCAGGCTCTCTGCTCCACCACCTCCTCCATGATGCTTCTCCAGGAGAGGCCTGTGACCTGAGAGCAACCACAGACACAACAAGCAGCTTCAGAAATGCAATGTGCTCAAATGTAATTTTACATAGAGTAATTATTGTGTGTGGTCTCTTTGAGTTGTGTCAATTCAAGTTGACTGTAGAAAAAAGGTTTCCTCCACTTTGAGGTCAAATGAAATATGTGTGTGATATGTTTTAATAAAAATAATTGAAACAATTTTAATATCATCTTATAGAAAAAAGTGTAATTACAAGATGACTCAACAGCTTTCTAACTTTTGTAGTGATAAAATGACTGAAATTAAGAAACATAAGTTGAAAAAAAATCTAAACTCTGTGGCCTCTGGGAGACACAGACTGACTCAGAGCTTTAGTAATTGTCTCTGTACCAGTGATAGTGTCGTCTCCAGCTGGCTCATGCCTCAGGCTCCTGAATCTATGACAAGAAAGTACCGACTAAAGCAAGGCTCAGACTACAGGAATTTTGGGCTGTTTTAACCCAGATTCTGCCCCGAGACTGAGGAGGAACCCACCGATGTTCTGTTTACATCTGCTTTCCCATGAGAGACGTGAGGAGCCATTGTTTTCTAATCTTGTTATGTGGGCATGTTTCAGAATAGAGAGACATTTTTTTAGAAGATTCTCCTAATGTTTGTGATGCAACCCCTGTAGTTCGATCCCAGCTTACTATACTCAGCATATTTAACACCCTGTAGATAGAGCTAGCATATAGAGATATAGTATATCTCCTTCACCCGACAAACTTTTGCCTGTGTGTTCTTACTTTGCCTGTGTGTTTGCCAGGGCAGAGGGGTGGTGAGGCTGCAGGGCGACAGGCTGTGGCCCTGTCCCGAGCTCCTGAGCTGCATTCCTCGAGGGGATACGCTGGGGCAGGTCGGGGGGAAAGCACAGGTCAGAGGTCGCTGTGGCTGAGCTGGGGTTTTCACCTGCAGCACAGGAAGACAGGCGGAGAGGGATTATGATTTACACCCGGACTGGAGATTTAAGCATGTTAAGTGACTTTGACAGCATTAACATACATGCCGACATATGGCTTTCTGACAGCTTCGAGATTATTCTGTGAAAGACACTAACCACATGCCTCATTTATTTCATGATCACTGGGAGAATGTTGTAGAATGGATTCTGCTTTATCTAATGGGGTTAGTCATAATGATTTTAATACCAGCTGAAAGATAGATATTATTTCTTTTGGGATAATGAAAGACATCAACCCCACCACCACACGATATTCTGTGGTGTGAATAGCATAAATTTGGCTTAAATGTACAGCATGTAACTTTGGTGTCATGACGCATGTGAGTTGTCTTCACCGTTCCACCTGACTAGAATCATGTTCACAGGTGAGGTTATGTTTTTACATTACGCAGGAAACAATAAATCAACGCCCATTACAAGTGAACAATACAAACAGTGGGAAGAAAAAAGTGATGACTGGCTAACAGGCTAGCAGGGTTTTCCTTCGTCACGTGTCATTTGCACCAGAAGCTACAGCATCAACAGACAAAGCCACGGGTATGTGAATATAAGATGAGTCAAATCAAACAGTTTTGAGAAACAGTACCAGAGAAAGCAAATACAATTAAGCAGCAGCCACTAGCATATTATGAGTTTCCACTTTATGTCCACTTTATATCTGCGGGTTAAAATTAGTGACATTATCCGCACTTACCTGGAAAAGAACCTTGTTGCCATCTAGGTCTTCAGTTTGCCAGCGTGTGTTGCTGATGGGTGTGCAGGGGTTAGGTAGCAGTGGGACCAGCTGTCCAATTTCATCCACACTGAACTGCAGCACCGCGGAGCTGCACGGCTCCACCCGAACCCCCGGTGACAACTGCTTTAACGCCAGCTGCAGGCACAACCCTGGCTCTGTGTGGGGAGGAGGGATGAGAGCAACAGGCAAAAATAGACAATAGACACAACAAAACTGGAGGAAGTGCAGAGGGACACAGTTTACATGTCACAGTTTTTTTTCAGCCTATCCCAGGATTAAGTGTTCCACAATGACAGACGGTTCTTCAAAGAAATAATGTCGCCAGAAGCGACGAGACATCTGGTGCTTAAGTATCATACTTCAACTCAACGGTGCATGTTAAAAAACCAAGAGGCAATAAAATGTTCTCCTCCTGCCCGACTGCAGCTCTGTTGCTAGACGACAGCAGGGTTGGACGAGCTGGTGATGACGATCATGGAAATCCTCAGTAGACCAGACTATCTAATTTTGGTTTGGCCTTCGCTGCCTAGACATCCCATAAAGACCAAATCTCTGAAGGAGGGCCCTGAATTGGGACACTTCTTGTATTTGACTTTAAGGTCTGTTTCTTTACCAGTTACAATAAAGAGAAGCTCAACAATAAAACATGGGTTTCTGATTTTCATAAGAGAATAAGCACAGCATAAGACAAACATAGATCTACCTGTGTGGAGCGTGAACCAGCAGAACCCAGCTTTCTGCTCCTCTGCCTGTCGCTGCAGCACTGTCTCATACAGCCGCACAGCATCCTCATAGTTGTCATATCCATTGTACAGTGTCACGCGCAGTATTTCTCCTCCGCAGTGCACCGGTCGAACCCCCCACACAGGCATCCCCGCACCCAAACTATAGAAGTCTCTGCTGGGCAGGAGGTACGGCCGCAGCAGGGCGTTGGCGGGGGAGCTGGCGGAGGTGATGTGAATCCCTCCAGTTCGGTTGCCGCAGCTCTCTGTGTGATGGTACTGCCATGGAGGCCTTTGAAAGAAGTCCAGCACTTTGAGGATTCGCTCCTCGCCGTAGGCCTCGTGGAGGAAGAAAGTGATGGCCAGGGAAGGGTAGCCTGGAACATTTTTGGCAAAGTTTTATTCTCAATCAACCTTAAATAAAAACAGATGCAATTCTGGCAGCGGAAGATCATTGTGATGCATATAGTATTCAGTTAAGAGTAACATTTAAGGGAAAGTTTAAATGGTGAGTCTGTAAACATGTCTTGTTTACACATATGGAAATTATTATTTTTCCTGCCTCCTGAAAAGAAACACAGAGGATGTGCAATTAGATTCAGTGTACAAGCATCAGGGCTTTGGATCCCTGCAACTGAAAGACCTGCGACCTGAGAGAATAAAAAACACTCAGAGGACCCTCACCTGCCACAGGAGAGAGGCGGGTGTAACTTCTGAATGGTGCAGCCCTCTCTGACACATGGAAGATGTGGAGGCTTGGGCAGAGCCAACGCAGCAGGCGATCCAGTGTGTGCTGCAGCAGTAGAGAGTCTCCAGGGTTGGCTAGAAGATGCAAATTCACTAACAGGAGCTGCTGCTGCCGCTGTGGCCTGGCCCGCCTGGTCCTGAGCTCAACTGTAACACACACACACACACACACACACACACAC